CCCCAAAAAAAACCCACCTTATAATGCTTTATAAGGATTTATGGACAGGGAAAATAGATCCAGGAGAAAAGTGAACTGATTTTTCAAAGGCCACAAAGTGAGTCAGTGCCATCTCAGAAGTAAGAATTAAAGGAAAAAACACCCGCTGTGCCGCCGCCCCCCCCCCTTGCTCAAATCATGTTTGTGCAAGAGCCGATGAGACAACACCCATTTTGTGCATGTTAAACTCACCAATTTCTCCTTCTACACCAGGCTTGGGAATGCTGATGGAGGTTCGAGTCTCTGTTTCTAGTCTCTTCTTGGTTTCCCCTTTCTTCCCAATGATGTACCTGGTGGCATAGAAGTTCGAGAGAGTCACTCACACAGTGTCACTGGGCCACTCTCCAGCCTGCAGACTAACCATGCTGCAGGGACACCCCACATTCGGTATCCCTGTGCTAGAGGGACACATGCATTCAGCTCCACATGCAGCATTTCCTCTGCTTTTTGCTTTGCTCAAGGTAGTCACCTTCCAGCATCCAGACAAGAGAACACCTTTCCTTCTCTACATTTCAGTAAAACTATTCAACCAATAAAACTGTCAAAAATAATTAGATAAAGCTTTGAACACTATAGGCTTCCCAGAAAACACCAGATTTGAGTCAACAGTCAATTCCAGTCATGTGTGCCTTCTCTCAAAGCTTTCACAAACTCCCCCTGCCACGCTGCTCACCCCAGTTCTTCCTCCCCTTCTTCCACCCTCTCTGATGCTTCTATGTTCAAGGGAAGAGATGCTCAAAAACTCTCCTGCCAGCAAGAAAGCACCACCTGCTGTCTCTGTCACAGGGAAGGCTAGGAGCCAAGCAGGGCACAACTGCACTAAAAAGACACTGCCAATCTTACCTTACCAAATGCTAAAATCCACATCTGCAAAACAGAATACGTTTCGGAGATCTGGCGCTTACTCCGACCTCAAAAAAAAATTAAAAAAAATTCTGCGCTCAATCACTTCCCAGCAGCAACTCAAATAAACCAGAAACACATAGGCTCACTTGTATAATGGGCTGGGAACCTCCACTCTGCACTGGAAGCCTCTCTCAGTCTCTTCCACCACAAAGGCATCGCAGGGTTCATCTGTGCAGTCACCGGGGCCTGCTAGAAAAAAAACAGACCTTGTACAACCTCTGTAATGTTTGGCAGCACTTTATGTAGGACAAGAATCTCACTGACGCCTTTTACCAAGGTTAAATAAAGGAAGAAACAGGCTCCCCTCCACTGCAGCTAACTGTGTTTTATTTTACCTTACTACCAGCTCTGGAAAACACAATGACTGCTTCTAAATCCGGCTGGCTGGGAGGCATAGGAAAGCAGTAGTTACAGCCCAGGTTTTCTCTCAGCTGGAGGTTGTGCAACTACCCAGTGGGAATGGCCTCTTCTCCCAGCAGGGTGAAAGCCACCAGCCCATTCAGAGACCTCAGCAAAGAACACCAATAAAAGGTGAGGATGGTTTTGGTTCAAGGATTCAGGTTTTGGAAAATGGAGAAATTCTCACACCTTCCTCACGGAGGAATAGATGTACCTTTCATCCACAAGCCTTTCTGTTGTGCTTGTTAGGACCAAACATGACTTCCAGAAAGAGGCCATAGTTTCCATTTCCTCTCCAACACACACAGGGATGAATCTGGGTGGCAAGGAGCTTATTAAAGCTTTGTTCAATCCACCAAAAGGCAGCGCAGAAGGGAGAAACAGGACACAATGGCCACAACCCTTTCTATTTCAGAAATAACACCTGAGCTTTTCTGTGCCCACAACAACTCATGCAGAACTACAACAGACAGAAAAAGTAAATCAGAATAGGAAAAATGTTGCGCCCAAAATAACTAACACCTTCCAAAAGCCACATTGTAAGAGGCCATTTTTTTAAGGTGGGAAAACTGCAAGGACAAAGGATCTTTAGCAAGCAGCTTCCACTCCCACTGTATCTGCAAACAATCACACTACCAAAAAGAAAGACACTTCAGATCTACAGAGCTGATTTGTTTTCCCCTTTTACTGGAGATCTTTCACAGCCAGCAAGCAGACAGCCAGCAGCACAGTCACCCACATTAGGTAACCGGGATTACGCCCACTTTTTGATCAGCAAGATCATCGGGGACCAATGCAAAGCATTTTTCTCCCTCTTGAACATCTCACTCCGCCACAAGGGCAGGTCCTTGAGCACATAAAGATATCAGAGAGAACACCAAGAGCTCCCTAGGTCCCCAGCATCAATGACTTAATCTGTAGCACATCCTGACAGCACCCCAGTCACCCCTCGCGCAGCAGTCTTTACCTGCACAGAAATCCTCCTCCTCCTCGTGCGGGTAGGCCTGCTCTTGAATGAGATTCTTCCTGTACACTCGTCCCCCAATTCTTCCCAGGGTGGGCTGCAGAACATCCATCCTGCTCCTCCTCCTAATGCAAAAACAAAGACAGCTTCACTAACTTCTGCCAAGGAAAGGTAAATTCTGAGGTTTCCTCATGCATAAGGGGAGCCCAGAGGAGCTCAGACGTAAGAAGAGAGGTCTGTACCTCCAGAAGAGCAGTAACTCCTCCTACACATATATATGAGAGTTCAGAAAAGCAACACCTTGTCAAACCTTATGTCACTCATCCAAAGACTAATTTTATGAGAACTTACACGTATACTCTTTGTCAGCTTGTAAAGCACAATGAAGTAAAACTGGGAAATTTTAGCAATGTTAAGATACATAACAAAGCATTGGAGTTTTTTAACCCTGAAAGGAGGTCAGCAACTGATCACCATTCCCCCAGGAACTCAAAGTTTTACGTAAAACTCGCTACAACCTCAGTCAATGTGCTGTCTTAGCATTGTTTAGGATTCTCAACAGTTTCACCTCGTTATTTTCCATAGCTGCAGACCAAAGAGACCTCAGCCTCTTCCAAAGAATCCCCTACAACACTGACCTCTCTCAAAATACCTGCCATGCTCCACTAGTTTCCCAAAGGCCTAAGGAACTTTACAAAAGCAAAACCCATTCCCTAGATCTGCTTGAGAAGCAGCTGGGGAAGGCACTCCGAAGGATCAGTGCTGGCTGGTGTAAGTGGTTACACCTCCTGTCCTCCACCTCAGCGCACCATGGTAAGTTTAAGGTGTAGGCATAGAAGTCTTATGCTACCCTGCATTATTCTAAACAATATTACAAACATGAGGCACTGAGGTAAACTTTTTATAGTAGAGAACATTTTATGGTGTAAAAGCAACGGGGCAACCCAAAGAATTAGCAGTCATCTGTCAGACTTCATCAAGACTCAAATTCCTATGTTCACTGAACAGTTTTAAGCTGAAGGAGTGGAGATTTAGATATTAGGAATAAATGTTTTCCTGTGCGGGTGGTGAGGCAGTGGCCCAGGCTGCCCAGAGAAGCTGTGGATGCCCCATCCCTGGAGGTGTTCAAGGCCAGGCTGGATGAGGCTTTGAGCAACCTGGGCTAGTGGGAGGTGTCCCTGCCCATGGCAGAGGGGTTGGAACTGGATAGTCATTAAGGTCCCTTCCCACCCAAACCATTCTGTGATTCTGTGATATCTCAGTTTGCCTTGTTTCTAAAGCAGAAATTTCTGTTACTTAGAAAACAAAGCTGGCACCAAAATAAATCACCTTTGTCAGAAGGTTTACCTGCCCACTACAACAGAACGTGACACGAACGAACGAAGTACTTGCCTTTGGAGAGGAATTTATCCTAAACTGGATTTATTATACGGACTGACAGGAGGGAGGTTCATAAGGTTAACTATCTTATGAAAGCCCCACCTTCTGAAAAGACTGACAACACCTGAACCCACACTTCAACAAAAAGCCATTCCTGCAGTTCCAGAAGCACAAACGGTGCACAGAGAAAGCCAGAACAGGCCACGAAAAAACCCACACTGGCGCTGGGGTTGTTCGCTTCCACTCAGATTTTTTTAATTAAAAATTGAAGCGCTAGTGCCACAATTTGTTAATACAGGCCTTTAAATAAACCAGCCCGGGGGTGCACGGCCCCGAAAGAGCCCGGGGCGCAGCGGTCCCCTCCCTAGCCCCGTATCTATGGCAGCCTCCG